TGTATATAAAATGTGAAAGAAGAATTTGAGAAAGATAAAAATGACTTTACAGTTCAAGGATGAGAGGAACTAAAGGAGAAAGCTCAGCTGAAACTAATTAGTACAGGGTTCAAGTATAAATATATAAGTGAAAGATGCTTATGGAAGATAAGGCATCACATTTTTTTTTTCCCATTGCTGACTTTAATGGTGAAGACATTTTAGACCAGTCAAAGGAAGAAGTAAAAGCCAGCCTGCAGGGGTTTAGCAAAACAATGGAACATGAGCAAACAGAAAGCATGACCATAGACACCGGAAGAACTAACAATGAAGGGATAGCAATTAGTACATTGAGAAAAGGTGAAGTTATGGGACGCTTTTTTTTTCCTCCTTTTCTTGGGCACTGAAATGACTTGAGCACGACTACTTGCTGATAAGCACGTTTGTGGTTAGGAGAAAGTGAGGGTGAAGAGCAAACTCTAGAAAAGAGCAGCAAGATTGGATTAAGTTAGAAACTTGAAAGGAAAATTAAAACTGGGCAGAAGCATTATCTCCTCTGAGGCACAGCCAGACATCTTTGTGAGACATGTATGCGCACTACAGCCCTGAGAGGCCGGCTAACTTGGATACTCTTAGGGACCATTCTCCTGCCCAAGGAATAGGGTGTTAGGCATGCAACTACACTTGCAGACTCAGATTGTTTTTCAGACCTCCTCCTCTGAGGTCAGAAGAGAAAAAGGAAAAGGTGGATCAAGGAATAAACGGGCAATGTGAATTCTTTTTCATGGACCCAAAGAGAGCATTGCTTTTATGGCCTTGCAGGAGGAAAGAATGATATGGAATGAGATCCATTATTATTATCAAGAACGTGTAAATTGGAGTCAAATAACAGTGAACTGCTGTCTCATCACATTCCCTTATGTAAGCCCTTTCTTCTTCCCCTTATTTCTTGAATTCTATCATGCAATGGTTTCACAAGGTGATTGGGATCTGCAAATGAAGAATCAAAATAATGCTTTCAGAGAAGCTCAAAGTTGCTTCTCAAATTTGCACTCAAATTTGCTTTCCATTTGATTACAGTGATGAACTAGTGATAAAAGTGGAAAGAATGGTCATTGTTGCATTACAAGCCATTTTTCATCTTTGTGAAGAAAGAAAACACTGGTGGGTGAGACAGACTTTTAACAGAAAAAAAAACTTTATAAGAGAGGTGTCATGAGGCAGGAGGGAAAATGACTAGACCCAGAAGGTTTCAAAATGCAGGCTTTGAAGCATCATCGAAGGCACATCTGAACAAGGTAGCCAGGACTTACAAGGCTTTTAACAAGAATAGCCCAAAGATATTTGAATTAGGGGATATGAGGAAGACCATGTGAGAAGGACAAGAAAATAGCAGAAGTGTGGTTGGAGGAAAAGGGTGGTGTAAGTGGCTGTTGGATTAGCCAGTAAGTCTGGGTGTGAAAAGAGGCAAAACCAAGAAAAGCGTTGAAGACTGAGACACTGCACAAAGTTTGCTAACTTCATTAGTATCAGAAACAAACCTAATAGCAAAGTGGTCATAAGGGAAGCTCAAAAAGTATGCTTGTGTGGGAGGAGAATGAAGATTGCTGAAGTGGAGAGGAGTTGAAGGAGTCAGACCATAGAGTATATGTTCATATTAGTGAGTACCAGGAGACCACTGATAGTGATAGTGGCAGACAGACCTGGGATTGCAAAAAAAATGCCCAGCCAGGTGCCAGGTTCATGGATGAGAACATTTGGAGATTGACATAGCAGATAATGGGAAGACTGAAAATTTGATTGCTTTTTAGCTGTAGGTTGCCTCACGCACTAGAGCATGGAGTGTGCACAAATAATTATATAGAATCTAAGACTGATACGGAGACTTAAATTGTCAGCTTCGTCATTATGTCAAAGCACAGAGTCAAGCACAGACAATATGGCTATCTCAGTGAACACAGTAGGTATGTAATAGGTGTTTATTAAATGACTATATGGAATAGCACATTAAATCTGTAAGTTCCTTAAACTCTTTATTGCTTTTTCAAATCAGAAACCAGAGACTGCTTCACTGTTTTTTAACAAATGGAAATCTTAATTGTTATAAAATTGAGGATTTAAGACATACAAGCCATCCTTTCAAAGTACCAAAGCTAGCTTTATTTTGGTATTTTTCCTTCATTCATGAATTCAGCAAATATTCATTGAACGACTGTGTGCCAGGCACCGTTCCATACATTGGGAAAAACAGTGGAAGGAAAGGCAAAGTAGGCCCCAGCTCAGGGAGCTTAATTCAAGTGGGGGAAACACAGACAGTGTACAAAAATATATATGTTAATTTCAGTTAGGAGGAGGGCTGCAGCGAAATCAAAATAAATTGTGGGATTCAAAAGAACCAAAATTACTGACTGGAGTACAGCTCATTTATTTAAGACAGTTAAAGAAGATCTCTCACAAGGTGACATTAGCTGACAGCTGAAAAGTGAGAAGAAATTAGCCATGTGCAAACTGGGAGGTATTCCAGGTAAGCAGGTGGTGTAAAGGACCAAAGGCAAGATCACATTTAGCAGAGAAGGACAAAAACAAGATCAATATGTCCATTCTGGAGGCTAGTGTAAAAGCCATAGCGTTTCTCAAATCTCTATAGATTTCAGCATGAGCGTGACCACCATTTTCGGTGTTCAAGGACAGCAGAGTGGTTGGGGCAGACTTTACAGGGACACTGTTTAAATTCTGGCCTCTCCCTTTCTAGCTGTCTTACCTTGGGCAGGTTTAACCACACTAGACTCACTTGAGTATACTTCCTTTCCTATAACCTGGTATTCATAATATTTCCCTCATACACTGTAAGAAGCACATCATTAATAGCTATAAAGCTCTTACTGTAATGCTCAATATCCTACAAATGGTGCTTCTTACATTAAATAATTCTACCTTTTCCCCTCTGATTACATTATGTGTGATGGATCAGTGCTTCTTATATGATTTATTATATTTTTTATGAAAGTCAGAGTGACAGAGAGAAGGACACAGCAGGAGAGAGAGATCTTCCATTTGCTGGTTCACTCCCCAATTCGGTGCAGTGGCTGGAGCTGAGCCAATGGGAGCTGGGAGTACGGAGCTTCTTCTATGTGCCTGCAGGGGCCCATGGACTTGAACTGTCTTCCACTGCTTTCCAGGTTGCTGGGTTGGAAAAGGAGTAACCAGGACTCCAACTGGTACCCAGAGGAGATGCTGGGTACCAGCATTAGCATTAGCAGAAATGCAGTTCATTTTACTACAGTGCCAGCTTCATGATAAGCACTTTTGATAAGGCATCATAGTGATTATCTTAGTCAGTTTTGAGAATTCCATAATTTAGTTAATTCTGAAGGAAGGATGGTGTTTAAATGCATACCTTCATATTCAATCACTTGACAATGAACATTATTATCAGGATTTGTGATCTTCAACAATAGTGACCACAGCATAGGTCACCATGTGACCTATGTAAATCAGTGAAAGAATATCTTTAAGAGGACATGGGTTCATCTTGATGGATTATCCATGAAGATACTACTAACTTAAAAAGCTATGTTATACATACTTAATACAGTGTTTCTAAAAAGTAATAATTGGATTGCCGAAAACTGCAAATCTCAAAACTTACTATAAAAAAGAACCACATTTTTGGCCTCGGAAAGATAGTCTATCTTACAATGGCAAAATGGCTATATGATAACAATTGCAGAATGATAATCTAATTATCATTCATTCAGAATTTCATAGTTTAATATGAAATCACACTGTTAAAATAAGATCTAAAATATTGTTAATCGTTGCATGTTAAAAGTTTAAGACCATCTATTAGTATCGTCACTATATTTAGTATTTTCAGGAGTCTTCAGAATGCCAAACTTATTTGGAAAAGAGTAAATAAGTTTTCCCAATGGTGTTTTGCTTGATAGTTGAAGTTTGGCAGATTTAAAGTGATATTAATGTGATTCACTTGAGTCAAAAGAAAATATGAAAAGGCAAGCATCGGTGATAATTCTTATTGATTATTTTGAATAGAAATTAAAAGCTAATGTAATTTTAAATTTGGGGGTCTAAGTTAAACTTATTCAGCAAAATTATACTAATATATAATCTTAATTGAATCAATAGAGAACTTCTAAGCAACAAATAGTTGATTAGAATACTTATTGAATTTGTTAATGTGTTAACATCTGCTCACATTTCTGGTTGACATAATAAAATTCCAATTAGTTTTAATAAAACGACAAAGCTTAGCCTATAAAAACATTTCTAATACACAATGATTTAGAATTTCTTAATTTGGGAAACTATGAAATACGTGACTTAAGTTGCTTACGTGTCGAGTCTGGCATTGTGGCAGAGCAGATTGTGTCGTGCAGTACCTTAGGGTTCTGGTTCCTGTCCTGGCTGCTGAACTTCTGCTGCAGGTTCCTGCTTATGGCCTGGGAAATCAAGGGAGGATGGCTTAAGCCCTTGGGCCCCTGTACCAAAATAAAAGACCCAAAAGAAACTCCTGGTTCCTGGCTACAGATCAGCTCAGCCCTGGTCATTGCAGCGATTTGGGGAGGGAAACAGCAGATGAAGAAGACTTCTTTCACTGTTTCTCCTTCTCTCTCTGAAGCACCTGCCTTTCAAAAAAAAATAAATAAAAGCTTAAAAATACTTTTGTGACATAGGATTTAATATTTCAGTTATCAAATATATTGATATATATATATATAGTATATATATTGACATATATATACTATTGATATATATATACTATTGATATATATATACTATTTTTCTTATTACCTGTAGCTATTCAACTTTTTACAAATCTTTTTAACAGAGTTAAACTTATAAATTCCCAAATGAACATTTCTACAAATTAGGTTTTCCCTGGGAAAAAAAAGTAGGCTTTATGTTGTAAATATATGAGGCTGCTAATGTGATAAACTTATTTTCTCTGACAAGCATCTTCAATAATATGTGGCATTTTTTTTATTTCATTTTGCTTACAGAAGACAGCGCAAAAATCAGAAAGTGTGGATTTATGTGGAGCCCATATTGAATGGACCAAAGATAAGTCAAGCAGAAAGAATGTCTTTCAGGTAAGAATGTTATATATTCAATTTCATACCATTCCCAGTAAATTTGAACTCTTTTCTGTATTCAGATGAAGACAATCTTTTTGGGTTGTGTCTATGTACATAAACTAGTTGTCTGAAGGACATGCTGAAAATGGACTCTTCTTCTGTGTTGAATCTTTGGTTTGTTTTGCTTTTTTCCCTGGTGACTGCTCTCTGAACACAAATTAGATACCTTGTGTTGATGAATTTTACACATAAACTTTTGAATTTTGTAATATACTTGATTGCTAAGCACTATTCACACCGAGAATGTTGAACTCAAATAGATTTATGATAACATTCTCAGATATACACAAATTAAGATTCTCTAAATATAAACTATTTTCATTCAATACCATTCATGTCTTGCAATCATTAATTACATTTACTAGTGTAACATGGGGTAAAGGAGAGAGCTAGACAGCTGTAAAAATGGGATCTTTCATATTGCATCCTCATTTTTTTTGGAAAAGTAACTAATTAATAATTATAATCGTAATCCATTGAATGGAAAGAACAAGATGGAATCCTCGAAACAAAAGTAATGTTTTACAGGTGATACTAACAGAATCTTTGGTGGTTGATAGTTCTTGATTATAAACATTCATGTTTTTGTATGTATGAAATGCATTTCACTTTTGCATTTCGATAGCCAGTGATTGTATATGTATATTTTAGAATTTTTATCATTTGGTAGCCATAGAAATAAGACTATTATAATTTTTAAAAATTAAGTTGCTTCTCAGAGCTTTGGGGGTATTAGAGAAAAGTAAGCTCCTTTATTACAGGCTTTGCTGAAATGAATATTTTGCCATCAAAAAAGTATAGGTAGGTGAAAATTCTTCCTTTTTTCTCACTAGGGAATAAAAGCTGGTTTGTGTTTGGTATGTATTTTTTATTTCAAGTTTGAGTGGACCCAAGTAATTTCAGCCCATTGTAACTTAAAACAGATGATTTAAAATAAATACATTGTACACTTTCTATTTTTATGGTTCATATTTATTTAGATGTAGGTTTTGACTTAAAAACATACACTCTTCATCTATCTATCTATCTATGGAACAATGATCTTTTTACCTGTTATTTGTTGATCACTATGGCTAGTGGTGCATTAGGCTGTGAGTATAAATGAGAAATATGTCACTGCAAAATTAAAGGGAAAAAGTAAGATTGGGAGAAGGAGGGATTGAGGAAGAAAGAGAGAGAGAGAGAGAAAATATGGTTGCCTTCCTATGCTGTATTTATGGGATATATGAATTCTTAATAATAAAATTTTGCAAAGTCAGAGGACATAAATTTGTTAACAGTAAACAAAATTTAAAAAAGAAAAGAGAGAGGAAGGGGAAGGGTGTAAGAAAGGAAATGAATTAAAACCCATGTATTTAGATGTTAATCTAAATTCTAAAGTGATTTGAAGGTGGCTTTACTGATTTCTTTATATTAGGAATCAGTTTTGTTCTAAAATGAAGAAATGCATACTTGAAATGGATATTTTTTCTTTTGGCTTTTCTTCCATAAATAACAGAATTCAGAGGTTGTAACCCTGGTCTGTGTGACTACCTCAATCATCAAAATATTTATTTTTTAAAAACTAAGCTGGGTAAGCTAAATGGTGTAACCTTAGTATGTATTGTGATTTTAGTATTCTAATTGCGAAAGTGGTGAAAAAAGCACATTACACAAGGTACTTTTGGAGATATGTACTTTTGGAGATTAGTCCTTTTTCAATGTTTTCTCTGAATTCCATGAAGTTTAATTTATGACAAATGAGATTGACAGACATATATATGATTTAAATGATGCAAAAAGGGAAGGGACATATTTATGCATATATGTGCATTTAATTTACCCATGTACATCATTGCAGCCTTTTTCTGAAAATAGCTGAATATGTCCTGGTGTAATTTTCCACATGTTTTTTCATGGTTTCTAAGTACAGGTACTTCCAAAATCATTACAAATTCTTGGTCTTTTGCTAACTTTTTAAGTTGAAAATCTTGTTACTTGTGCTCATTAACTCAAGGATTCTCGGTGTACTTAGTGTATTTCTTTGTCTTGTGTACTTTAGACAAACAAAACATTTATAAGCATATTGTGAATAACAAAATTAGGAAAAGATTAATTTTCTACTTTTTCCTTGTGAATGAATCTCTTGGTTTTGCCATCATGTTGAAATCTGTTCATTACCTTCACACATGAGCTTAGGTAACGTTCACTAATATGTATCCAAAGATACAGACTAGGATAGTAAGCCTTTTGAGAGGCACAGTACAAATAGCTTTTATAGTTCTGTTAACGGAAAAGCATCGGGAAGGATTTGCCAGACAGCTAAATCTGGATGAGTTGCATCAATATTTGATTAGATACATTAGCTGCTCTAACTCTCAAATGATCAGAATAAACATGATTATATCTCAAAAACATGGTATTAAGGCATTGTTGGATGTGTGAATGTGTGTGCAAGGGTTTCATTACCTGCAGAATAATCAAGTGTTTCTTCCAGACTGAAAAAACCATCATAGCTTCTGCTGATGTGCTGCCTCAGAAATAGCTTTAGAATTCCAAGTTTGAATTAGGCTTGGTGTTCAATCTCACTCTATGAATTATAGATTACAGATAGCAAATGACTATTAAGATTTTTGGTTCAAGAAAAATCAAAGAAGAGCAAAATTAGAAATAATTTAAATTTTGAAATCTGTCTTTAAAAGGTGATGGATTAGCAATTATATACCACATAATTATAAATTGTGAAGAGAAATCATACATAAAATGAATAGGAAAACAAACAAAAAATATCTGGATGTTAAATCCTTGAAAGTCTTTGAAGCACATTGGTGTGACACACAAAAAAGGGAAAGATTTCATTTATTTTTACTTATGTGTAAATTTGTATTGTTCATTTTCTTCCTATTAAAAGCCAAATTTCCTCCCTGGTGAACATCCTACTAATCTCCTGATACGTATTAGGTCTTATTTGATTGGTACATAGTAGCGTAACAGTGACAACATTAATTAGATGTTAACTTTTTGTATTCATCAACACAGAAAGAGTGATGCCCACTTTCTGATTCAACAAAGCCTGCCTGTTTTATAGCAGAGTAATCATTGGTCTAATTGGCACTTCTCGGTAATTTTACATGTGTAAAAATGTTAACTTCTGCAATAAAGTGTAGATATATCAAAATATTGTTAAAATACATATGTATGCAGACATGTGTTTGTATAATGTGCATGTGTGCATGATAAATATGCATGTTAAAATTTGACCCTAGAAAATGGAGAACATTTCTGGATATAGACGCACAAATACAAGATATTTTATTTTGTAAAAGGTCGCACAAATTCTCAATTAAATTAGTAAAGTCCATCGCTATTACTTTTGTTTACTACCACAACTTTCAAGAACCATTACAACAGATGAGGCAGATGGAAAAACGTTAGCAACCGAATGATTCCTAATGAACTGTGATACAAGTTTCCTTAGTTAACCTAAGAGCACCACTAAGTCTTCATCAGGGAAAACGTGAAGAAAAAGATCTATGTCCAAATCACACGTTTTAAACATTTCTGCTAAGTGCTAGTTTGCTCTTTGGTGTTTAGCCTGAAATTTAAAGCACAGAGGATTAAAAGGATTACAACATAATCTTAAATAATCCTAAATGTCATTTACAGAAAGATAGTTGTAATAACTAAATAAAAGCATGTTAAAGGATGGCAGTATTGTCTGGCAGCATCCCGAGCACTTGTGCTGCCACTGCCGCTTTCATCTCTGTGTTCTCTGGGCCTAACAGGCATTTACAAAGTTTTTAGGTAGGAAGTTCCGTTGGGAAAATGGCTGCAAAAGAACTAAAAATTGGAAGTAATTTTTTTTTTTTGTATTTTGCTTTTAATGCTTTCTTGTTTTAAAATGGAAGATAGATCTTCTCATTTGGGTTTTCATGCTTCCTTGAAAGAGAAATCACTCAGGGCTGTATATTTTTTGAAAATCTAGGAAAATCAAGTGGACAAGAATTACATTTCTAAAAGATTCCTCAAATTCCATGTGATAACCCTCTTATCAAATATGTTAGTATCCCAAAGCAATGTAATTAATTCTGTAACAGACCTTAAATATTCCTTATTGCTGTCATATACATTTTTTTTTCCTGTCCAAAAAACAAAACAATACTAAGTTAAAAAATACCCTTCTACTTATTTCTACTAAGCCAGAGTACTGGACTGTTTTCAGCCTATTACATTATTATAGCTAAGATTGGAGTTATATCCCTTCAGTAATATACACACACAAAGTAAATATCTAGTATGTGATATCTATTATTAAATAATCACTTTCATAAAAAGTTTTAGCTAATTTTTTCCTCGCTGTAGACCCTATATTTCTGGATTTTCAGAGTGTCAGTAGAGGTATAGAATGCGAAGATACGATTTTCTTGGTCTTTTTCATTACAAAGTGCAAAACAGGAAATAATTAATTATTTAACTAATTAGATCATTCCTACTATAAATGTTTATGTTTTCTTAGAGGTAGCAATGACTACACCTCAGTTTTTATGACTTTCTTTTAATAGAAAAACACTAACAAGTATTACTGGTCTCTTGTATAGATTAAAAGTTTCAAGTTGGATAATTCTACTAATTAACTACGGTGGATTAAGAATATGTTAATTTTAAAAGAATATGTTAATTGTATACTTAAGAAACAGAAACAATTAAACGATCCATAAAGATTAAAGTCTGTTCTTCTTCTCCCATCAACAGCTTATAACTTAAGAATATAGCATGAATGAATTTCTTAAACTTGAGCTTCAATTTTTTCATACTTAAAAATATGAGACAAGCATTTGTTCTGGCAGTTGGGATGTGGGTTAGGACAGCCATCCCATATGTAAGAATGTGGGTTTGAGTCCTGATTCCACTTCCAATTCTACTAGGATACAGCCATGATAGTTTCAGTGGCTGGGTCTCAGCCACTCTTGTGGTAT